CTGGAATTTAACATTCAACGCTGTACTGGATGCAAACTGGCCACGACATACAAGTGTCATCGCCTACGCAGACGACGCAGCTCTTCTTGTCAAAGGTCGCACTCGTGCGGAGCTCAAGAAAAACGGCACCGAAGTCTGCTCCCTCCTCGCCAATATCTGCAGCAACTTAAAGTTTACAATCTCTGCCGCAAAGTCATCAGCAATAATAATACCCAAAGCTGGCACGAATCCAACTCGCCGTCCCTGCATCAAACTACAAGGAGCCACCATAAAGATTGTCCAAACGCTAAAATACCTAGGTGTAATCTGGGATAAAAAACTAACCTGGATCCCTCACATCCAAGAACTAAAGAACAAAACATCAGCTATAGCCAGAAAGGCGCGCGCCTTCCAAGGTAAAAACTGGGGTCAGAATCATCATATTCAGAAGATCCTCTACCATGTGGTAGCTGAAAAAATAGTCTTGTATGCTGCTGCCGTATGGGCCCAAACCGATGGGTAGGACGAAAGATCAAACATCTTACATCTCTTCAACGGACCATTCGCCTGAGTCTCTGTAAAGCGTACGCACCAACAGCCACCAGCCAGCGACAGTCCTTGCAGGGCTCATTCCACTCCACATACGGGCAGAACAAGAGGCAGTCTACACCACCCTCATATACCTCCGCAAAGATGCAACATTTGGCAACATAACACACAGCCCTCTGCAATTTCAAAGCCCAGGTTCACACTCATCCTGCACGTAAAGGCACAGGAATAAAAATTAACATCCCACGGATACAGCCACTGTCAATGACGCGAGTTTCAAGGGATACGCAAATATACACCGACGGCTCTAGGCAGGAAGACGGAGTAGGCAGCGCCTTTGCACACTATGACAAAGGAAGAATCATCCATGTATGGAAAGGACGCCTTGACTTAAACAACAGTGTGTTCCAGGAGAAGGTGCAAAGCAATTATAACCGCGGTAGATTACTTTTCAATAATAATATAGAACGGGCGAAAATTTCACTGACAGTATGTCAACGCTTCTAGCACTAGATAATCACAACCACACCTCGCCTTGATCATCAAATTACAAAAACTTTACAGCGCAACCCGCAGAATATCTCTCCTTAACATGGATCAAGGCACATGCAGAAAATGAGGGGAATGAAGCAGCTGATAGCTGGCCAAGCAAGCAGCCAATGATCCAGAAGCTGAAAAAAATTACAATCCCAGCCCCTCCTTCCTACCTGAAAGGGCTATTACGGGGTCAAGGCCTAAATCTTTGCAGGAAGACTGGACGCATGCACAACTGGAAGACGTACATACAGCTACCTCCGAAAGTCAGCACTGAACTCAACATTGCAATAGCTCCTCTTACGGCTTATATTACGGGGACACGGCCCATCCCGATTACTTCAATAGACATGGCATAACAACCACGGACATATGCGCCTGCGAGCGGAAGGCTCCCCAGACCCTATGTTTTTGAATGCCATCTGACAGCAGGAAATCACCCTCCTCTTCTCATCAACAATAGTGAAGCTTATCACCGCCTTATGAAGCACAAACGGCAGTAATACAATTGCAAAGTTGTTAACAAGCTCAAGAGAATGGGCCAAGATTTGTGCTCTTCTCATTAAACCAAAACTCTCAAGGCATGATACAAGTCAGCATGCAGTTCCACATTCTCAGACACATACGTCTATTCCTAAAACTTACATAAGTCCCTATTACAGACACTTTCAAATAATGTACAATCAATGTATTTAAACATTTCCTCTTTGTATATGCATAATACTTATTTTTATTTATTTATTTTTTATTTTATTTTTATTTTTTTTTTCTATGAGCCTGTATTTGATCTATTGTTTTGTAACTGTATTTTTGTATCTGTATATTTAATTTGTATTTTATTAGAATTTTATGTGAATGTGCAAAGTTACCATAGCAAATTGCAACAACAAATGTCAAAACGGTAAAACGAATGCAATCTGCCTGCATGGCCATGTAAATGCTCTGTTAACATCTAAGAGCTCCCGAGGCGGCCTCTTGAGGCCCCAGGGAGTTGTTCCTGGTTAGTGGATGGCGCGGGACACATGCCTGTTTACCTCTGTTAGACATCAGGCGTCCCCGTCCTCCGTTACCAACCAACCAATAAGATAACGCCCGGCCACATATTACTTCTCTCACCTTGAATGCATGCAAGTAGCTCCTGGCCAGTCCTATACCTTCGATCTCTCATAAATAGAGCATTTGTAGAACATGTTTTAACAGCGGTTAAACACCTCTTCGTTTTTACGAAATGAAGACTGAGATCATATCAGTAATACATGGTACACGATACTACAGTACATTAGTCAGACACTCATTGGTTCGATTGAACGACGTGTTCAGGGCCGCAACATCTTACTGATTTCCTGAATATCAAACTGCCTTATCGTTGCATATCTGTAAAAGTTCAATCATTTATTGTCTTGTTGCCTACCTATGTACAAATTTCGGCCCGTTTCGAGTCATTCTTTTATGTTGTGGCATTTCGTTTATAAGGCAGCGTAATTCATTAATAGTTTGCCATTTATAAAAATGTGTTCCTCAATCTAAGTTGCTTAGATTGAAGAACTTATGCTTAATATATTTTTGAACAACTGAAGGTTTATTATCACAAATTTATCGGCAAACATACGTTAGATTTCTGAGTAAAACTTGTGTTTGTTAAGATTATCATAATTAACACGTGCGCTTAAAATTATTCTTTTATAGTATGGATATTAATTTTAAAAGCATACATATAGTTAGGAGGATTAAAAATTTTTCAAAAATAATTAATACTTGAATTTTCAACATCCAAAAGTAATAAAAAACATATGTACACTATTTTATACTCATAGTTTCATTAATAACAAAAATACTCAGTGAAATGGCTTTAACCAAAATGAAATATTTTAATAACAAAAAATGTTACGATAATACAAATAAAGTATACGATTACATATTTATGTATATTACATAAAATACAAAATTAAGCAAGTATATATAATGTATAAAATTAGGCAATAGATATATAAAATTAGACAAAAATCAGTCTAAGGTTAGTATTTAGATTAAGGATTCCAAAGAATAACAAGATACGTTTCTTTCACGGATCAAAAACAGTCTGCTCTTGAAGGAGCAAAGAAATTGGTTCCTCGTTTTTAAGCAGGAAACGTATTTTGATTTCAGGATCACTTTGCTGTTTAAAGAAATTGGAACCACGTTTCCTCAGTCCTCGAAATATGAAGATAGTCTGTGTCAATATGAACAATGATTTAAAGTTGGATCTTGCCTAATTTTACAATCGGCAGTACATGTGCCTCTACCATATGTACATGCGTATGTACAACAAATGGATGAAAGAATTATGTACATGGTGATCAAATATGAAGTTTAGAAATACATATCTTCTTTAAATAAACTTAAAATACTTTTGTTCGTTTCAAACCCGTATCAAATACCGTTTTAAATCCTATGCTATGTATCAGATCATAAAAATTATACGCATTTCGTTCTCTGATACACTGCTCGAAAATATGTATAAGAAAGAAATTTATGTGAAACAGATGAAGTGCAAATGAAATTCAGTTTGAAAATGCTAGGAGAAAAAATTAGTGGAATGGCAGAGTTCTAGTATTTCACTATACGTAGCTTTTTGAATTTATCCTTTCAATGCAGGGGAAAAGTTTATTCTTTCTTGTGCACATATTCAATAACTATTACTATTTAGCAATATATACCGTGTCCATAAATGTCCAGGCTTTAGTTTTGCAAGCCTAAGACGTAGACATATACGTACAGTTACAAAAATTCTTAAAATGAGGCGAGCTTTCATGTTTTATTATTTAAGCAAGTTTAAAAGTATCATTTTTCTAAAAAACTACGAAATCTAACCTTTTTATATGTTTCTTCCGGTTCCTATGCTTATATCTCGGAACGTTTTGCATTCATTATAAAAAATGAAATACAAGAAATGTGATTCCCGAAAATCAACACTTGACCAAGATATTTCATTTTAAATTTGGAGATTATATTCAGGAGCAGTTCACAAAAGGAAAAGCGAAGTGTTTACGTTTGTACGTAGCTAAAAATAAAATATTGGCTTAGAAAAAGTGCCGATGGTAATATATTAAGTGGCGATCATTTCTCCCCAGATTATCGTAAAAGGTATTAAGATAAGGTTTCCGAAAAGGAGATCTTACTAACGAAAGTTTACAGAATTCGCATTGTAGAAAACGCTTGCAGGCTTCAGTATTGACATAAAGCCAGCTAGTAACATTATATGCATAAATTAAAAATAGTGTAGTTTAAAGCTTAATAGCATTAAGTAGAATAAATTGGGTAGTTTAACAAATTTTTGTATGATTATTAACTAGATTATAATTCTAAAGTAATAAACCTTCACGAGAATATTAACAATATTATTTTTAGCATTTGAAAACTTAACAAGTAAATAACATAAAATAATTGTGTGAAAATTCTTTCGGCATAATATTTGAATAAAATTATAAATTAAAGAATGCTACACTTGTAAGTCACGAAAAAAATATTATTGAATGGTATTTAAAACAAAATATGAACCTCGAGTTTTTTCTAATTCATTTGTTAAGCCAAGGCAAGTGGGGAAAAGAACATCAATATCCCCAATTCTGAAATTAAATATTTCGGTAAGTTTCATCGCAAGGTAAACAAATCTTTTGCTTATTTACTTTTTTATAAAGAGTGTAAAATTTTCCTAAATGTAAGGAAAGAGAAAGATTGTAAACAGTTAAATTTCCTAAATTTGCAAAATTGATACCTGAAAATGTGAAAACATAAATATTTGCTTCATTTAAAATAGTTTTTAAACTGGAAATATGTGTCTAGGACCAATGGTTACGAAAATAAAAGCAGGTTAAGGACTTTTGTGAACAAGTGTATACCGGATTAAAATTCTGATTTTACATCATTCCTCTCTTAACTACCTTAAATTATATTCGATCTTTTTTTTTTTTTTTTTTTTTTTTTTTTTTTTTTTTGTAAGACATCTGAAATTTGTGATTTATTCTTTATTTCATGATACGGAAAAGCACTCGTATCACGCATACGATACGAAAGGGGATATATTGTGAATATGCATTTGCTAGTTGTATACTATTAAATTTCGAAGTTCAAAATTTCCATCACCTAATAACTATAATTTGTATTATTCATATAACTTCTGCAGCATCATAAGTACTACTCACAAAATGAAAAATCCAGATTATATTCAAGAGCAGCATTCCGATTTGCAAACTCAGGGTTTGCCCTTTTGACTTATAAATTGCAGATTCTTTAGGCAGCTGAGGAGATTTCATTTCAAGCGTCATGCAGTTTCCTGAGGAATCCAGCACAGGGATCAGATCAGTAAGTTTTGTTGATGGATTGCCAATGCAAAAACTCTGATGCGAAAAGGAATCATATGGTCTTGAATCGTAATCTGAAGACAGCATCCAGAAAATGCTGCAATCACATGTAAAACTATTACAGCAGTTTTCTACTTTAAGCGGTTTTGTAAAATTGCTTACAATATTAGGAGTCATGGCATAGGCATCTACAATTTCTATATTGTTATGAGTAAATATAAGTTTTTCTGAAACATCTAAAGAGGCAAATGCATCTTTCTCCAAAGTTTCTATCGTGCAATTTTGCAAAACGAAAGTTTGTAATTCTGAACTTAAGAAAGACGAAGTAGCGAGTAGTCCAAATTTACAACTTTGAAAAGTGATATTATGAATGGAAGAGAGCGAAAAACTGTGTTGGCTGGTTTCCCCAAAGTAGCAGTTTTCAAAAACTATTTCATCAGAGATGTGAACTTCAAAAGAAGTATTTCGAAGTCCATGAAATTTCGTATTAAAAACTTTAAATGTGCTTATATTTGCTAAGAAAAATGCAGCATCCTCCACATGAAGGAAATTCGAATGTTCGATTAGGAAGTATTTTACGTTAGATACAAACCCGAAAGAATTGGTTGATAAATATGTGGCTGATACATTGCTGATGATTAGTCTGCTGACGTTGAATAATCCCACGAAACCGTGCGATTTCACGTTGAATTCAGAAACATTTGCTATTGTTAACGATTCAATTCCTTGAACACCCGCCAGAGCAAATGGTCTAATGTTCAGTTGCCTGATGTCCAAGAAGTCAATTGTTTCTAAACGTAGATGAGTCAGAGCACCAAGAGGCATAGTGACGGTTCCACAGCCTTTTACTAAAACATGCTTGATATCGAAGTCCATGGAAGCGCTTACTGTGATGTTCTCGCGATAGTTGCAGATGCAATTTAAATATTCTTCATCAGCAACGCAGTCTTCGGAATCATTGTAAGAAAAGGAGTAGGCAGTTCCAATCAGGATCAGCTCACATATGAGAAATAGTTTCATCTGCAAGGTGAAGAGCTTTTAGTTGTAAATATTTATTTTGAAAAATAACATTGTAATGCTCAAGAGAGACACTGTAAATGTAATCAATTTACTACGAAAATTTAGGAACATTTTAAAATTCTGCATATTAGATTAAAGTTATTATTTCTTTAAAAAAATAAAGTGTTGAAATAAGAAAAATAACTTTTGAGATTTATTAATGGGATTGTGCTTAACCTATATCTAAATGAAAAAAATAACAATAAGAAATATAAATTTTAAAATAAATTTAAACCATGGGAAGCAAATCAATTAGCTCAGACATTTGTCCCTATAAAAAGAGGATGTCGTGGTAATGCCTTTGGAATGCATTATCACGTCAGTAGTTTCCTTAATTCATGATCACGTCAAATAAATGCTTTCCCATGGGCATACTTACATTCTCATAGGTTTTGAAAGTAAGGCTCGTTATGCCTTCTCGACAGTAAAATTAATTTCTTAAAGAGAACGAATGATTTTCATTGTTTCATGAAAATTGTTAAGACATTTCAAGATTTCTCTGTTAGACAATATCAGGGCTCATGATAAGCCACCGAAACATAATACATTTTGTTGTGTAAATCACACTTTTATCTAATTGATACAGCATATAAAGGGGCTTTCAAAAATTACTATTTCCTGAGCATTAACAGATGTTTACCTTTTCAACGAAGTCTGATCATTCAAGATGATTCCCAGATCATTTATATTTTCCCTTCTATTTCTCAGATAAACCCCCTTTTAACTCGTAAAGACCTTATTTTATACTAATAAATTATTTTGTTATTTTAAGAAACTTTTCTCTCCTTTCTGCTTTCAGCTTCTTGCCAGAATGCAAATTTAAGTGTCGTATATGCAAATCCAAGTGAGTTCGGAAATACTATTTAAGTAGCAGCATTTTGGAGTTTGCGGTAGAAGAGTTATTTACGAGTTTAAGCCACGTGTTTGCAAGTAGCTCTGTTGCTGAATATTTTGTGTTAGCCACTTACTTTAATTCATATAGATATAGACTTGGATTTAGATTGAAGAAGGAGCCAGTAGTGTAGTTAAAATTTAATTCATTCTGACTGTATGTATTATTTTATTTTGCGGTTAGAGACAAGTGGAGGTTAAATTGTGATCACCGAGTGAGTGTTTACTTTAGTTAAAATAAAAAGGTTATTATAAACTTTAGTTACTTTAGTTAAAATAACCTTTGTCGTCTGTCATCTGTTTTTTTCAAGACATAGCGAGAATTCCGTACTTCGTCTTCGTCAGGGTCTACATTTTATGCTCCCCAAAAAAACGAGAGTCTGCAAACTTGTTTTCCTAAAATTATTTGAATAATTTGTCTGGTTATGCGGATTATATAAAATCAGTTTTTGTTGTCGGTGAACCATCGAGTATGTTCTAGCTAATCCCATTTCGTATCTCCTTTCTATGCTGCCACTGTAGAAGACATTTGCCATTAGAATGTGTGCCATTTTCTTTAGAATGATACTAAGGTATTCAATGATGAATCATGAACTGTGTCTTTAGATGCATCCTTCTCTTGATTCGAAAAAAAGCAACACCCCTTTTGAAAAAAAGCAATAACCCTTTTAATTAACCTATTGACACTAGTTTAGTACGCGTCTCCGTGAAACGTCACACTCGCAAGTGGCTTTACTGTTCTTTTTTTTTTTTTTTGTTTTTGTTTTATAATTTCCATGAATAATAATATAGATAAGATGTGATACATACCAAGCTTTGATTGTTTTTAGAGCTACGGTATATTTACCAGTGGTCCCATCTTCTAATTTGAACTCGTTTACTCTAAAAACTTTGTGAATTGCACAGAAATAGCCACTTTAACCTGCTAGCGAAAAAATCCCTCTACTTTTTTCTTCCAAAATTTTATTTAGCTTTGACCATTGAGTTATTTGCAATTTTCTACGAGGGCTATTTCTAAGGTCAGGCCCGGTGGCGCTGTGGCTAGCGCATCGCGCAGCAGCACCACAGGTCGGGGGGTTTACTCAGCCTTTCATCCCATGATTTCCATCACTTGGGTCAATAAAATGAGTACCAAGTTTGCTTGCGGACTAAACACTAGGGGTCCTGCACACAGCTGACCACTTGTTCAGGGCATATGCTTATGCACCCTGGGGCCCACGGTCAAGAAAGCAGATTACGGGCACTGTGCAGGCCTTGGCCCACTAGGGCTGTTAGGCCATTAAGTTTTTTTTTTTTTTTTCCCCTAAGGTCACTTTTGCAATAAATTCCTGCAGAGTGATCACATAAAAAGTCTTGCCCAATAATTTCTCTATACTTGACAGCTGGCATCCGCAACTGAACAATTATTAAGATTAATATTTAATAACTTCATGGGCATAAAACACAAATTAAAATGATACGACAGAAATATTTACAAAATTTTAAATCCGAAAGATGAAATACAATAAAAATATCAAATAAATAAATAAATATAAATAAATAAAAGCATAACCTCAAAGATAAAAGTAAATTGTATAAATTATTTACTCAAATCTAATTATAAATAAAAGCCAGGCCTCAGCGATAAAAGTAAATTGTATAAATTACCTACTCAAATCTAATTATATATCCACATGCAAGTGTTTCACAAATATTTAACTTTTTTTTATACACTGGGCATCTTTTGAAGAACGTATCATAATTAGTATAATAATCTGTATGAAATGTTTCATTTGAAAATCGGCAACTAATACAACACAGTTTTTCTTCCGTACAGCGATGTTTTTCATATCTTATGCAGCTTTTTAGCAGAACATCTTATGCCTCTTTTTGCAGTATTTTTAGTCTGTCCGAATTTTATACATTTTAAACAGCGCTTGGGCTGAAGAAAAATCCTAACTGGGTAAGATTTAAATATAATGTTCAATGTGTTACTCTCCAAGATTTCCACTTGACAGTTTGCATTAATGTCTAAAACTCTGTGACTAGCATAATTTTCTCTACCTTTATTCGTATAAAATAGAAAATGAACACAATCACCAGAAAAGGTTGCATCCACTCTAAACTTTTCCAAAATTTCTTCATTTTTTATAAAATTAGAAACATTATACATAATAACTTTAGATGGGATAAATATCCTTCTTTTCATGTTATGTAGAGAAATTATCTGATAGCGTTATAAAAAATTAGGTGAATGATTTTATGATTTATGGAAATTTAAATTTTATTTTGATTCTGAATTATTTAATTTAAGGCTTTAATTTTGGGGAGAAACAGATGCTTCGGGAAATATTATTTAGTATAAATGAATATTATTTATTTTCTTTTATTTGCAAATCTTGTACAAACTTTTATTCATTGTGAAAGAAGCAGGGAAAGGGAGGCAATTTTCGCCAAGTCATGATTTCGCGCGCTTTAGAATGTTCGAGAAAGAATTTTCATTGTTAGTTGACCTTAAGAGAGGAAAGTACGTGACGGAAAGGTCAAAGGTTGCTACTTGTCTTTCAATGTAAGTCATTCAGGTTTTTGGCGATTGAGGGTCCGGTTGTTGGCTAAGTGAAGAAGGGCGCGCATGCGCGATCACCCTTATTTCCGCATTCTGGAGTTGAAAACGAAGATTTTGCCATAATTAAGGGGGCGATAAGTGAAGCCATAGTGGGAGCCCGTTTTGGGAAGGAGACGAAGGAAATTCGAGTTGGATACACACTTACTTTTTGACTGACTCTCTGACTGACTCGCTGATTTTCGGGCTTGCTGGACAAAATGTAATTACGAAGCGGGATGTTTTCCGGCGGGGAGCGGCAAATATGCTCCCCGGCCGCGTTTGGTTAAGAGGCGAGACTCTCTTACACACTTACTCTGGACTCGCTTAGGCACTCACTGCTTGGATTCGCTGACTTTCGGGCTTGACGGACTTGTTGACGGAGACTGAGAAAAAACTTGTGGGTGTTGCGAAGGAGAAAGGAAAAGATTTAGTCGGCATCGAGCAGTGCTTCCGGCGGGGAGCGGCAATTATGCTCCCCGGCCGCGGGTTTTCTCAAAAATGCGAAGAAAAAAAAACTGTTGAGCGAATAACAAAAAAATTAACAGAGACTTGGGTCTCTATCTGTATCGGCAAAAGTCAGGACGATGTCCTCTGAACTCCGACTTGAAAACAGAAGGAATTATGTCACCTTAGTCAACTGGAAGCCTGCGTTAGCCGTTCTCTAAAATGCCTAGCTTAATTGTCTACGTTTTCCTTGGTGGAGCTGAGAGTCTAGGCAGACAGCCGTGCGGTGTAAGCTGTTCTCTTGCTTCCAGTGGGAATAATTTTCTTCTATGGAAACCAGTAGCAGGCGTAAGATTTGACGGTATAGCTGATGTAATTTATTGTCGTGCCGTTCGAGTCTCTGTCTTGCGGATTTGCCAAGTGACGTAAGGATAGAGCTAAGATATGAGCTCTCCTCCACTTCAAGATGTCCACTCAAGATAAGTATTATTTTTTTTGGTGTGTTGGAACTTTAGGCAAGTTTTTTCAAAAACGTCCTTAGCAGTAAAAAAAAAAAAAAAAAAACGTCGAATCTAAAATTTAACTCTCAGGCCATAAATTGTTCCCTTTCCTTTCTTTTAAATCACCAGACAAACCTTAAGTTTTTTTATGAATTTAAATGAACAGACTCTCAGATGAGGTTAAGATTTTTCTTATTGTGTTGTAATTGAATAAACTGATATTTAATCTGGAACCTCTTACAGTATGTTTTCTTTATATATTTAATATGAACTTTTCCTTTATATCTTGTATATGTTTTATGTTTTCGATCCTCTCACGGCGCGGTCCCGGAATGCATTTTTTTCACAACGCAAAAATGCTGTACACGTTTCACTATACGATCACTACCTTTAACGGCAAGTAGTTTCATATTTAACATTTAACAATATAGGAATTTAAGATATAACATTGGTCAAGATGTCTTTACCAGATAAGAATTTTTTTTGGATTGAATTCTCACGGTAATCTATATAACATTGGTACCCTGAAGTAAAGCTATTTAACAATGGTCTCGAGTGAAGGATGAGTGAATTGCTCTT